CTGTGTCACTCCCCCCTCTAGGCTGCCCTGTGGAGCAGCAGTGGCAGTGCAGAGCAGATGCAGGGCAGCCCCATGCAGGCTCTGAGCAGCTGCACCAGGAAGTGCCGGCAACGGGAGGGGGGGTGGTACTTTTCCCCCACACTGAGCAGCAGAGCAGCAGTTTCTCTCCTGTGCCACCACTGCTAAGCCTGGACCCCAGCACCAGCTCTGGGTTTACTGCTGCTCAGCATGGGGGAAAGTGGCCCCTCGCCTTTGCCACCATGGGGCAGTTTTTGGTGCAGCTGCCCAGAGCCCACGCTGTGCTGAGCTGTCCTATGACTCCATCATCGCTGCCTCTTGACTGGACAGTGCCGCAGTGGTGACAGTGTGAAGCAGCTGCAGGGCAGCTCAAAGATGGCAGTGAAGGAGCCACAGGGCAGCCCAGTGCAGCGCAGGCTCTGGGCAGCCACACCAAAAACAGCCCAGTTGTGGTGAGGGGGAGGGACAGCTTTTCCCCACACCAAGCAGTAGTTTCTGTCCAGCTGCTGCTGCCATTGCTGCTGCCATTCAGCTTGGATGGGCAAGCCTTGAACCTTCCTGCAAACCCTCAAACCCCTCCTGCACACCCTTCTCCCCACACATCCCCACAAACCCCCCATACCCACCCACCCACATTCACACACACACCCCCACAAACCCCACACCCACCCACCCATACCCCCTGACAGCCCTGCACACCCCACACAGTATACCAGAGTAAGACTGCATTTTGAGCTATCATGCAATCACTTCTACATGTACAGCACAAATACACACAAGTCAGGACAAAAATATATATTTATAATTAAATGAAAATATATTATTATGGGTGTTTGATTTTTAGTATATAATTTGTTTTTTTCCCCCAGTTGAGATATCAAACCCTCTTTCCAAAAGGAGTACTTCTAGGGGCAAAGAGAGGGACTTCCTGTGGCAAAGATCAGAGGTTAGGAGCGGGACTTCCGGTCCCAAGGTGGTGACCAGGGAGCGGGGCACCTGTCCAGGGGCAAGGCTACCTACGCAGCCCTCGAAAGCTTGCCAAAACTCGGAAAGCAGTCCTCCACCCAAAATAATTGCCCACCCCTAATTTAGCTGCTGCCACATTGCCAAAAACCTCTTCCCTGGTGGAAACGGGAAAATGCTTCTTTTTGATGTACCTGTTCATTTGCTTAGGATCCATACACAATTTCAAGGATCCATCTTTTTTTCCTGTTATGATCAGTGAATGAACCCAAGCAGTTGGTTGTTCTACTTTTTCTATTATGCTCATGTTAACTAATCTATCTAATTCCGTTTTCAGTTTCTCCCTTAATACAAAGGAAAAATCTCTTGGAGCATGTATGTTCAGAGTGTTTGGTTCTCTTAATCCTATCTTGTACTCAGTTGACAGTTTCCCTATGCCTTGAAACGCATCATAAAACTCTTCTTCTATGTTTTTGCTTTCTAGTCCCTCAGTGGCATACATTCTCGTAATCAAACCTAGAGTTTTACACATTTGCAACCGAATAATTGGTACCAACTTTCCTGGGACTGTTACAAACTGAACTTTTACTATATTACCCGTAAGTCTAACATGCAGTGAACAAACACCCTTGGTCGCAATCATGTTCCCATTATATGCTCTAAGTTTCACTTTCTTATTCTCATAGTACACAGATTTAGTTATCATTTTTTGAATAATGTATTCTGGAATTACATTGACATGTGCCCCTGTATCTAATTTAAAAGTTACCATTAGTTCACTGGTGTCTAGGGTGATTGTCCAACACTCGGAAGAATGAACTTCTTCTTGCATTTTGCCAATGAGGAATTCTTCCTCTTCCTCATTGCGTAGAGCATGCACCTGCTGTTCCTGGTGTGATGTATCCTACTCCTTTCTGCAAACTCTTGTAAAGTGATTGAATCTTTTGCATTTGTTGCAGTGCTTACCAACTGCAGTGCATTGCATGGGTTTGTGCTAACCCCCACAGCATCTGCAGCTGACCATTGTTTCTTCAAGCAATTCTCTTTGGCCTCCACTTGCCTGCTTCATAGTGAAGTCCTCCTTTCTGTATCATTTGTATATTGCCTTAGGTTTTTGCAGTCTTGTAATCCTGTCTAGTTCAGCTTGTTCTGTTTTTTTTCTCTAGCTTCTGCAGCCTGGCATTTGGTATCTCAGCCACTTGGCACATTCTAACTGCCTTTTCCAAATTAAGCTCAGGATCCTCCAGCAGTATTTTCCTGAGGCTTGTATCCCTTACATCTAATACTATTTGGTCTCTGATCATGGACTCTTTTAGTTCTCCAAAGTTGCACATCTGGCTCAGCAGTCTGGGATCTTTGACAGACTCCTCTATTGTCTCTCATTCTTTCTGCTGTCTCATGTAGAAATTGTACCATTCAAAGGTTTCATTTTGTTTAGGTATACAATATTCCTCAAACTTTTTTACTACTGTGCCATAGCTTTTCTGTGCTGTTTCTGACAGTTGTAGGCTAGTATAAAGAGAGAAATCTTCTGTGCCTCCTATATTTAAAAAATAGCTACCTTGAATGAATCTTCCTTCTCTGTAACTCCACTGACTGTCATATATATGGTGAAGCTCTGCTTAAATTTCTTCCAGTTTTCTGCTGAATTGCTAGACAGCTTTAACTCCTCTGGAATTCTGAGATGCTCCATTTTTCTATCTTTCTCACACCCCACTCTTGGTACCATGTGTTGTTCTCACTTAAAGGTGGGGGGGGGGAAGGGGCCAGTGGTAGAGGGGGAAGCAGGGGTGAGGGGTTAGGCATGGGCATGGGCACAGGCATGGGGGGAAGGGGAAAAGGGGAAGTCTGCAGGTTCCTGCCCCTACCCTGCAATCTCTCCCATGTTCCCCCCCAGCTTTGAACCCCCTCCCCTGGCAGAAAAGCCATTCCAGCCTGTACCAGGAAGCAGCTCAGCTCTGGCTTCAGCCCCAAGCCTAGGGTTAAAGCCAGAGCTGAGCTGTCACCTGCCCTGGGCTGATACTTAAATCCAAGATGAGGCTATTTTTCCTAATGCTGTTTGGACAAAAAAACTAATCATGGATTTGAGTAAATACAGTAATTAAAGAAAATTCAGTCATTAAAAAAGTCATTAGGCACTTCCCTACTCTGTTTGATGCTAGAAGAGTGCAAACTATCTCAACAGTGTATTAATAAAGCAGTCATAAATCTGATCAATCTCATTTTACTCTAAAGGCCTGATGATATTGCTACATGGTTAGTTATGTATACAACCTCTATTTTTCACATGAAAGTACAATTTGAGCATGGAGCCACAATACTTATGCTTACAAATTAGACATGCCATTGCCTGTTCAATTTTAGGAATCAGCTCATGTACTTCTTATTAGGAGAGCTAAGCATGGAACATCGTAGTACAAAGGAAAAGGCATATGACTCAATCATACAAGTCCTGTCTGATTATATCAGTTTTTGAGAGATTTCTTACTGGCTTGCAGAAAAAATTAGTCACTCAAACAGAAATATTTCTTAGTTTCCATATATCCTTGATTCATGCTATTAAATGAGTCATTATTAAAGAAAAATAAGAAGCATAGCTCAGGTACCATTATTACAGCGGTTCCCAGGGCAGCACATGCCATCTCTGTGGCAACGTTTCTTTTTCCTCCTGCAGATCAAACAGGCAGAAGTAGCTTGATGAGGACTATGGCAGTATCTCCCAACTTCACATTCTTTATCATTGGTGCAAGGGTAGACCTGGTCATGGAAGAAGGAGAATGGTAAAAATTAAGGTATCCATAGATTTCACACTACTTCAGAGACAGAGAAGGAAGAAAACCCAATGTGTAAGTGTGACAGGGAAGGGAAATCATTTATCAGAGCTAAGGAGGGGCAGTGAGTGAAGTGCTGGAGTAGAGGTTTGCTTCTCTACAATTATTTGGAACTGGTATATGGGAAGCATGGCCAGATTTTGTAAGATAGAGCAACCCTGAAGTTTTGTAATCTGCTCTTGGAGCTGTGGTGGTTTAAGAGCTCCCTGACTTTCCCACTCATTTCTGCATCAAACCTACCTTGGTGCAAGAGAAAATCTGACCTACTTTTTATACATACATTGGATCTTTGTTGTGTTCTGAGTTACTCATGTGAATCAATATACTTTATATATAGTTAACTAATACACAAAACTGCAGTAGTCCAAACTAAAGAGGGAACAGTTTTGTCTTTGCTGGAAACCCATCCAGATGTAGGTAAAGCTCCCAGAATGTCCTCTGTATTGTAAGGACATTATCCTTATGTAAAATCTGAGCTACATTGTAAAAGGACCTCTTCAATTTCATGGTTCCAAACTTGTGGTGAGTATATGGACAGGATGATCTTTCTCATAAGCTTGCTATCTTTATATTGACTATTCACCTCTTAGTACTAGTTTTTCCTTTGAATTTGTATTACTCTCATTGATATCTACCAGTAAGATTCTTTGAAAGTAAACATCATCTGCACTCATTTTCACATGGATGCCTTCCTTTTATCTCACTGCCCTCCTTATAATATTCGGTCCTTAAATACTTTATCCCACACAGTAAAATCTCCATTACCCTTAACAGTGAATGTTATATGGCATAAATGCTAGATTGAAAGGGATCTCAAGGCTTATTTAGTCCAACCTTTAATACACATGCAGGATTTGCCATTCTTAAGCCATCCTAGACAGATACAGAAGCCTATACAACATCTTCTTGGCAACCTCCAATACAAAGCAAAAAAAAGAGGATGTTTTCTTTAACTTCCTCTACCTCTTCTCTCTCTCTCTGCATAGCTATCCCACCTGCTACTAAGAAGGGTTCCTCATTAAGTATTCCCTTATGCATCCCAGCCATAATTATCTTTTAGTAGGACTTACTCTTTGACATCTTTTTATGTGGTAATAGCAGAAAATGGTTCTAAGGAGAGAAACAGAGTGGTTTCTTTTTTTCCAGAAAAGACATAATACTTCAATGAGATCTACTTAATGACATCATCACATTCCAGGAACTCTGTTGACTCCCAGTAGGTTGTAATTATACATCATTACTGTATCTGATTACTCCCCTTTAAATTAATTAAATTATTATTAAATTATCCTTTCTATTAAACTAGAAAATAGGTATTGTTGTTGCATCTTACATTAATTAACACAAGACTTTCTGTATGTGTACTTAAAATAGTATTAGAAGTTTAATTCAGTTTCTATTTTTATTTTTTGGGAGAGGTGTGGATTTGAGATATTAATATGCCTTTCAATGCTTGGACTTGGAAAGAAAAAATGTGAAACTATTGTTAAGATAGTTCCACCTTCTGAAGGGGTTTCTTTGAGGAGTGACTTCATGGTGCAGCTGTGTGGAGTGGCTGATGGCATAAAGGTATTTTAGAGGTACTCACTAAGTAATAAGTGTTTACCATCAGATTTATCCTTAGCACAAATACTGTCTCCTGTTTCAGCCATTCTTCCTGTTACTATAAGTTGTGCAGTATCATTATGGTAGCACCTAACATAATTGGGATTGGGGCCCCATTGTGCTGGGCCCAAACACAGGAAAGGAGATTTTATCCAGACACTTCCTGATTATAATGAGTTTGGATAATTCTAATGCTACTACTAGCAGAGACACAGATAAATATAAACCAGATGAACCAGGTTTTCTCAGAGAAAGCATTTTGGACCCTGAGCTATTTGCCAGCTCCCCAGGACCATATTTTTTTACTACAGGCATGTGGTATACACCTGTGATTTGTTCACAAGAAGCCTGGTTGCAGTTTTCCTTTAATCCCTTGAATAACTTAAATAAATAAATAAAGTCCCTGCTCCTGCAGAAAACTGATATATGTCCTACCATTCACATGTAACCTCAATTTCTGTTATTTAAAATCTGCTTGCTAAATCAACTGAGCTATACACATAGATGAGGGCATCTTACAGACATTACAATGATCAAATAAAGAGATTTTAGCCTCAAAATCCCCTGTGAAATCTAGCTAGGTTTGCTGTGACAAAATTTAGTCTTCGGATGGCTACTCAGTAGTTTATGGAAAATGACTGCTTACCATATCATCTATATAACACCCTACGCATCAATCACACCAGGAAAGCCCATGATTGAACATACATAATGCTCACTCCAGAAAGAGATAGTTATGCTACTCAGAGGACATAGAAGGAGGTTTCAATAAAAAGGCTGGCCAGCTGTCCTTGTCTCTTTCTCTCTTGACCCCTCTTATGACCTTGTAAGTTATGCCTGCTTCCTGTAGCCAATACTTTGGTCTCTTGCAATATGTTGAGTTCTGCATTCTGTGATCCTGCCCACATCGTTGGGGGGGGGGGGGG